GTGTTCTCGTCTGTGACCGAAGGGTAAACTGAGGCGAAGGACCTTGCCCGGGAATGACGGCAAAGAGATTTGAATCCAGGCGGTCGCTCTTCGGAGCCCGGCCCGCCCCGTCCGCGAAGACGCGAGCCGCAGCGCCCCGAAGCCCACTTGCCGTGTGTCCTGCCCTGGCTCGAGCTCTTTCTCTTTGCAGCGGTTCGACTCAAATGGGTGATGAAAAGGACTCTTGGAAGGTGAAAACTTTAGATGAAATTCTTCAGGAAAAGAAACGACGGAAGGAACAAGAGGAGAAAGCAGAGATAAAACGCTTAAAAAACGTAAGCCATGTTTTTTAAGTAAGTGGTTTTCTTAAAGGAGATTTAATTTCTTTGCCCTCGTTTTTCCATTAGAACAACGCTTCTTCGGTGAAGTTCTTTTGTACTTCCAAATGTCGCAGGTGAGCGCAAAATCTCTTCTAAAAATTAACAAAAACGTTCAAATACTCAGTTTACGTTGGAGACAGATCGATAACATACTAAAGCTGTGTGTAGATGGCAGGATCCACGTGGAGATAAAGTACTTTGAACCTGAATCCATTAGTGCAGTGGGACTAATTTTTCTCATGTCACCGTTTCTGTGTCCGTGGCACCATTTCCAAGTATGTCTAGTGCAGTAGGAAGTCGCCCTGGAATTAATACTCGTGTTTGGCGCGGTCTTTGGTTGGCACAGTAACGTAATCAGAGAAACGTTTGGTAGCTTGGCGAGAGCGTCGGCAGAAGTACCTGTTTCTGCTCTCACTGGTAGCTGACCTTTGTTAGCTATTTCCGAGTCACGGACGAGGTGTCCCAGAGTATTTGGCGTATAAAACACGGCGTAAGGCTCAAGTTTGGCTTATGTAAACAACTAACATACTTGGCGTAGAGTCTAATGTTCCTTGTCGAATATGCTGATTTCAAGTTTTTTCACCTGAGGCCCTGGGCTCTAGAGAGTTGTGATTTTAACGTCATACGATTTGGGCGGAAGGTCCTTATACCTCGTAACATTGATCCATTCAAAGCGTATGTGAAACTTTGGGCATTGGCAAGGTTTGAGATCATTAACGAGACTTTTATCTGTGAGGAAATGACTTTCTCCTTGCTTCTCAGTCTGATGACCGGGATTCCAAGCGGGATTCCCTTGAGGAGGGGGAGCTGAGGGACCACCGCATGGAGATAACGATCAGGAACTCGCCATACAGAAGAGAGGACTCCATGGAAGACAGGTGGGGACAAGGTGCACGAGGAGGAAGGGCATCCAGCTGCACGTGCGCTTCCCCGCGGAGACACGCGGGGTCCCACAGCACAGCTGTGGTCCTGGCTGAGCCTCTGCAGGGCTCCTCTGAAAACGTTTGAAGCGGTGACTGTGGGTTTACCTCACAGTTGAGATGGCCTTTGTGTGGTACCAGTTGGCACCCGAGTCCTCTTGCGAGAAGATTGAATGGGTGCATATTCCCTTCTTGGCAATTATCCTTCAACCCAGTGAATTCGCATTCACAAATTACATTTAAATAATTGTGTGTGTGTGCTTTCAGTGACTGGTAAAATTACTGCCTAAAATCTTGCACGGATGAACCACACTAGGGTGCTGGAGTGTGCGCGAGCAAGGCCCGTAAGCAGCGGTGGTCCTAGCGAGGCCCGTATATGCTGACGTCCCTTCCTGCACCACGTTATCCCCTCACTTGCTTCCTTCTCGTATCCGTCATCAAATCATTAAAGCCAGCCTAACCAGAAATTAAGGTGCAAGGACGTACAGGTTGTGAATTCTCACAACTTTTTGGTCATATAGTCAGTGAAAAGTGTTGTTGAGTGACCTTTTGAGGTCATCAAGTTCTGTTAAAATTGTGATACTTTTTTTAACGGCTTTATTGATGTATAAACGATAAGCTGCATATATATAAAGTGTGCGGTCTGACATGTTTGTACACGCTTGTGAAACTATCACCATGGTCATGGTGATGAACGTGTGCATGATGCCCTGAAGTTTCTTCAGAGAGGCATTTTCTTTCCATATACACATTGATTTTTCACTTACCCTTTTCATCTGTGTCTGTATTTATAAGCAGTTTTGGCTTCAATTTCATAGTTAAGATTTAAAATGATTCTAGATTCAACTTTCTTTGTATTCTGACCGCTGCGTTTTTCCGGGCTGAAGAAGCTCCACGGCACCCTCATGGCTCTTCCGTTACCTGACGTGATGCTTTGTGTCTTATTTCAGAGGAGAGGAAGATGATTCTTTGGCTATCAAACCACCCCAGCAAATGTCTCGGAAAGAAAAGGCTCATCACAGGAAAGATGAAAAGAGGAAAGAGAAACGTAGGCATCGTAGCCATTCAGCAGAAGGGGGTACTGAAGTATTTATTGTTTTTTTTCTTTGTATCATGCTCAAGTATGGTCTGTTTCTTGTGTCATACTCGACCGTCTCCTCCAGAGCACAATTGAAAGAGAAGAGAAAGTAAAATCTTAGCCAAAAGCATACGTTTTTCTAGATCATTCTGAATAGTTAATTCATTTTCTTCCTGGTATTTTTTTCTCCCTTGTTACATTGTTTTGGGTTAGTTTGTTTAAATGTAATATTGTCTTTTTCTTTTAATGTTTTTTGAATTTTTTTTTAACGTTTATTTATTTTTGAGAGAGAGAGAGAGAGAGCGAGTGCACAAGGAGGGGAGGGGCAGAGAGAGAGGGAAACACAGAAACCAAAGCAGGCTCCAGGCTGTAAGCTGTCAGTACAGAGCCTGACGCGGGGCTCAAATTCACGAACTGTGACATCATGACCTGAGCTGAAGTCAGACACTTAACCGACTGAGCCACCTAAGCACCCCATTAATGTTTGTTTTTTGAAGGAGAGCTCGAGCATCAGCGGGGGAGCGGCAGAGAGAGGGAGACACAGAATCCAAATCCTGAGCTGTCAGCATAAAGCCTGACGTGGGGCTTGAACTCACAAATCGTGAGATCATGACCTGAGCAGAAGTCAGATGCTTAACTGACTGAGCCCCCCATAAATGTAATATTGTCTAAACTCAACAAATATAGGGTATTTATATGCAGTTTTTTTTTAAGTTTACTTATTTTGAGAGAGCACACTTGCAAGCATGAGATGGGCAGAGAGAGAGGGAGAGAGTATCTCAAGCAGGCGGCATGCTGTCAGTGCGGAGCCTGACACAGGGCTCTGTCTCACAAACTGGGAGGTTGTGACCTGAGCCGAAATCATGAGTCGGATGCTTAACCAACTGAGCCACCCAGGCATTCCTTCCTTACATTTTGAATAATAGGTGTTTTTCTAGCTGACATGGTTGCAAGAGTATAGTAGGCAACATAAAACACACAGTGTGTGTTAATTGGCTATGTTAACAGTAAGCTCTTAGTAAAATTTTTAGGGAATCAAGTTATACATGGATTTCTGACTGCGCTGGGGGTCAATTATTCAACATTGCGTTTTTAAGGATCAATTATAGTCTAATCATAGCTTAATACAGAAAGAAGATGAAAGTTAGTTTTTTTTTTTTTTTAAACGTTTATTCATTTTTGAGAGAGACAGAGCGTGAGCGGGGGAGGGGGAGAGAGAGAGGGAGACACAGAATCCGAAACAGGCTCCAGACTCTGAGCTGTCAGCACAGAGCCTGATGTGGGGCTCAAACTCACAAACTACGAGATCATGACCTGAGCCGAAGTCGAACGCTTAACCAACTGAGCCACCCAGGCGTCCCAAAAGTTACAGTTCTATTCAGTGATAACCACATTATTTTTTCTCTCACTTTGAGCTTTACTTCCATAGGATTTTCTTTTGTTTTTTTTAACATAAAATGATTGTTTCTCCGAAGTCATTAATTAAATGTTTTCTTCTTCACTGAGTGTTTTCTTTGAAAAAAAGTTTTTAATTTTTTTTTTTTAATGTTTATATTTTAGAGAGACAGGGTGTGAGCGGGGGAGGGGCAGAGAGAGAGGTAGACCCAGAATCTGAAGCAGGCTCCAGGCTCTGAGCCGTCAGCACACAGCCCGACACGGGGCTTGAACTCACAAACTGTTGAGATCATGACCTGAGCCGAAGTCAGGCACTTAACCGACTGAGCTACCCAGGCCCCCCTGAAAATTTTTTTAATCTTTTAACTTACTTTTTGAGAGAGAGCACGCACAAGCGGGGGCGGGGCAGAAAGAGGGGGCAGAGAATCTAAAGCAGGCTCTGCGCTGACAGCGGAGAACCCCAATGTGGGGTTCAGATTCATGAACCGTGAGATCATTCCCTTGTCAGACACTTAACTGACTGAGCCACCCAGGCGCCCCTTCAATATTTTTAAATTAAGTTTTGGGTGTTGGGCCCCTTTGCGTGACATTCTCTCTCCTCTTAGGGAAGCATGCTAGGGCAAAGGAAAAAGAGAGAGAACACGAGCGCCGGAAGCGACACCGGGAGGAGCAAGACAAGGCTCGCAGAGAGTGGGAGAGGCAGAAGAGAAGGGAGATGGCCCGGGAGCATTCCAGGAGGGAGAGGTGAGTGAGTGCAGTCTGCGAAGGAGCCTGAAACTGAGCATTGCTGGTAGCCAACACCCCATCAGAGCGGCGATGGAGACCGCCATTTTGGTGCACACACGAGAACCCGGCAGTATGACAGAGATGTGGGGCAGAAGTGGTTTGTGAGTCCACAGTCCTGGCACGGTAAACATGGGGTGGTGCTGACTGAAGAGATTAAGTTTTTACTGCATCTTGAAGACAGACATGGGTGTGAGTCTTCCTCAGAGAAGATCATGAAGGGAATGGAAATCGTGTGTCGGTTTCCTCCAGGTGAAGGCTGGTGGCGGAGGTACTCGGGAGCCAGGCCATTCCAGCAGTTGCTTGAGACCCTGTGTAAGAGTGTGATTTGGGACAGTTGGAAGGGGCATTGCTGGTGGGAGCTGGAAGTCTGACAAAGGAATTCAGACACAAGGAGTGCAGTTTGGGGCCAAAAACAGCAGTGGAGAGGGAAAGGGCGGTGGTCGCGCAGGGAGAGACGATCTTTCTTTCTCCATCTGTCAGCTGACGCCGGGGATGGGGGAGGAGGGCCCTCTCAGATTCATTCAGCCCAGGGCGCGTATAGAAATTCCCACACAGCGCCCAAGAGAAATCTGTTCTAGGACAATTCATTGGTCACTGGGCAAGTATTTTTTGAGTGCCTGCTCTGTACCGAGCTCTCTTCCAGGTGGTCTAAGCGAGGAAGACTAAGGAAATATATTGCTTAGGGTTCTCTAGGTCACAGCAGAAGTAGACTGTGGTTCTTTCAGACAAAATGGAAATCCCAAAGGCCTTATAATAGCTTTGGAGCTGAGGCACCAGACTCTTACACATTAGTCTCCAATTACATCTCTGTGGGCTCAGATTCCCAGAAGACATCAGTGTAGCTCCAGATCTGTTCATCTGGGCTAGTTGTGACTACTGGGGCCATCTCTGTGTATTGAGGTGTTTCCAGGGAAAGCTTGGTACCGGCCTGCTACACGGAATGGAGAAGTAGGAGGGGTAGATGGTGCCTGTGTTCCCAGCAGGCCGAATGACACGGGCACCGAAGAAAGTGTGATGAGAGCCTTTGTTCTCCGGAGGAGGAGGTATGGGGGGGAGCTGATTCCTAAGGTAAAAGATCATGGGGTGAGCAGAACTGTGTGTCCAGGTTCGCTGCTAGCATGGGAAACCCCTGTGTTTGCCAAGCCCAGTGCTGACCGTTTAGGATGGGCTGACGGCACAGCTGTGCGGACACAGTGTTGATCCCCAGGAAGCCAAGCTTGAAAACAAAAAGAAACGAAGGGAAAAAACCAGCAGTGGCCGCACTCTTTTTGGAAGACAGAGTTGACAGAGTTAGCAGAGCAGGTTACCAGACAAACAGCAACAGGTGAGAGGAAAAATTAGAATCCTCAATTGCTACCGTATGTTACTTGAAATGTCCAATTCTCAACAGGACGTCTTGAGATGTAAAAGAAATAGGAAAGTATGACTTCCTGTTAAGGAAGACAAGCATCAGTAGAAACCAAGTGTTCCAGATTAGCAAGGAACTTGAAACAAAGCAATAGAAATTATGCTTTCTTCAGAACAGACAGTCAAAGGAAGAGAACTAGAGCCTCCGGGATCTGTGGCACAGCACCTGTTTCACCAACGCCATGCAACTCGCAATACCAGGAGAGAAGAGTGATGCGGCACAAAGATGTCTTTTTAAATAATGGCTGAAGTCTTCCCAAATCTGATGAAAAACAGTTACCTGCATATCCAAGAAGTTCAGTGTACCCCAAGCAGGGTAAATACAAAGACACATCATAGTAAAACTGGTGAAAGCCAAAGAATAGATTTTGAAGGCAGCAAGAGAAAAAAAATCTACATAGAAGGTGTGATTGGTGGCTGACTTCTCATTAGAAACAATGGAGGCCAGGGGCACCTGGGTGGCTCAGTCGGTTAAGCGTTCGACTTCAACTCAGGTCATGATCTCATGGCCTGTGGGTTTGAGCCCTGCGTTGTTGGGCTTAGTACTGACAGCGTGAAGCCTGGAGCCTGCTTTGGATTCTGTGTTTTTCTCTCTCTCTGCCTCTCCCTTGCTTGTTCGTTCTCTCTCTTTCTGTCTCTCTCAAAAATAAACATTAAAACAAAAATTAAAAAAAAAAAAAAAACAGTGGAGGTCAGAAGGCAGTGGAATGGCGTAGTCACACTGCTGAAAAAACCTGTCAACCAGGAAATCTGTGCAGCAAAACTGTTGTTCAAAAGTGAGGAGACATAACAAACTGGTGGAATTCATTGTAAGTAATACCTGCCTTAAATACTCAAAGGCAGACGCCTGAGTGGCTCAGTCGGTTAAGCATCCAGTTTTGGCTCAGGTCATGATCTCATGGTCCATGAGTTCGAGCCCTACATCGGGCTCTGTGCTGAGAGCTCAGAGCCTGGAGCCTGCTTCAGATTCTGTGTCTCCCTCTTTTTCTGCCTTACACCGCTCACTGTCTGTCTCTCTCTCAAAAATAAATAAATACATACATACGTACATACATACATACATACATACTCACTCAGGATCATCAGGTTGAATGGAAATGACACCAGAAGGTATAGAATTCACAGGAAGAAAAGACAAGCTTTAGAAATGGTAAAAGTGTAGGTTAACGTAAGATAATTTACGTATGTTTCATTTCATGTCTTCTCAGCTTTTATGAGAGACACGATTGCATAAAACAGTAATTATTAAAATACCGTGTTGTTGTGTGATACGTAGCATGTGTAGAGTGCACAGGGTTGAGAAGGGAGGGCTGTGGCTGTGGCAGAGCAGACCTATGTTCAGTGGAATGAAGTTAGTGTAATTTGATAAGATGCATGCTGCCATCACTAAAACAACCTCTAAGAAAATAACTTTAACAAAATAGTGCAAACAAGAATTAAAATTATATACTACAAATATTTATTTATACCAAACACAGAGGGGCGTCTGGACAGCTCAGTCAGTTAAGCATCAGACTCTTGATTTCAGCTCAGGTGGTGATCTCATGGTTCATGGGATTCTCTCTCCCTCACCCCCCTCTCTCTCTCACTCTCTGCCCCTCCCCTGCACTCTTCCCCTCTATCCCTCTCCCTCCCCCCCATCTCTCTCAAATAAACATTATATACATACACACACAGACCATCAAAAACTGAGAAACAGGACCCAAAAGGAAGACCTATAAAAGAAAAACCAAGAATAACAACGAAAGTAAATCCAGCCAAATCCATAATTACGTGAAATGTGAAGTGGTTTCTGTACCCAAAGGAGAGGTTCTTTGATAGCAAACCTTGATCTATTATGTTGTCTGTAAGGAGAACACGTTAGAGACCAGGACAAAAATAGGTCGAAAGTAAACGTATGGGGAGCTGCCGTGTGAAGCCTGGTCTGCATAGCTAGTGGTAAAGAGGGTATGGGAGCAAGCCAAAACAGACTAGGAGCTCACGCTGTGCCACTGTGTGCCCACCCTTCGGCTCCTGACACCAAGGCTGAGCGCAGGGTGTTTTTCCCTTGCCTGTGCCACCTCCCAGTCCCTGGCCCAACGTGGTACTGACCGACCAAAGCCCAGTACTGACGAGACAGCTCAGTGCCTAGTGTCTGTGCCGCCTGCCAGAACACTGAGGCAGAGGTTCCGCAGGTACCTGAATGGAGTGGGGAGAAGAGCTAGCCAATGAGGTGGACTGTGATCCCTCGTTAATGGTTCAGATTATACTGGAGAGGTTTCTACAAGAGCATGAGGAAACTCCACCGTCCAAATCTGTTATAAATAGTATGCTACAGGACCCTTCTCAGATTCCAGATGGAGTTCTAGCAAATCAGGGCTGTCCGTGCACCGTGCAGTCAAATGCTCTACCCCTAAGCTCTACCCCTGTGTCAGCACACTATAAACGACTGCTGTTACGGACCACTGGTTGACTGCATCAAACATGCCCTTGGTCATGAGCATGGAGTCCTGCTGAGAGGCCTTCTAGAGGAAAACCTGTCCTTCCTAAATGAAGAGCAGCTCCGTGCAGAGGGTTATGACAAAACCCCAAACTTTACAAGTTCCAGTTGCTGTAGAAGGGTACATAATTCACCGGATTGAAAGCGGGGCCTCGTTTGGTGATGAATGTCGCCGCCATGTCCACCTACATGACTGACCAGGTCTGGACGTACTGGAATAGGTTTGGGTTGGGCTTTGTCATTTATTGGGACAGCTTTACCCGGGAACTGGACTGTAACTGGGAAGGGGGCATCCTGCTCAAAGCCTGTTTTCCCGTGGACATTGTCGCCTTGTGTCATAGCATAGCTTGACCCTGATGATCCTGGAAGAGAAGCCGGGAGGACGAGGCTGGATCCAAAGCAGTTTTACTTTTCTGCAGTGTAAACTCCTGGCAGCACCTGCCCTGAACTTCAGCCGAATTCGTGCTGCCCATAGCCACGTCACTACCTCTTGAGACAAACATATCAAGAATTTCTATTTTTCCTCATCCGTTGCTGATGTGAACAGCCAAGAACTGCATACATAACCACTTGTTGTCATAACCATTTCTCTGTCAGTTTACAGATAGTCATAATCTTTCTTCTTTCCAGATGGTTTCTGCTCATATACTGAACAAAAAGCAGAAATGTGGAGACTGAAAGGTGTGATTTTTCAATTCTCCCAGTTCCCGAACCACCCTCTTTATTTTTTTCCCAAGTCTCCATTCATTCTCCCGCCTCCCCCATTCTTCTCATACCCTCGCAGGTCCTCAGTGTTGAATTAGCATCCTGGAATAATCTAGCACAGTCCTAGCAGAGTGGAAAACATGGCGGTTGAAACTCTTTGCTCCCACCTGCAAGGTTCCAGTAGACCTTGATGGTAGCCTGGGCTTGTTTTGTCCAGTCTTTGCGATTTTCTGATTTCTGTGGCATGAAGCCAAGCTGAGAAAATATACTTGACGAGAGGTTTTTCTTTTTACGGTACTTATTTGAACACCAGAGACTTTCCGTTTATTTCATATAAGAGTATTGGTTACATTATATCTGGAAACCACACTCCTTTGGATTGGAGGCCAAGGGGAGACCATTGAAGCATGGTGCCAGCCTGGGCAAAAGTTCATTTTTAATTTTATTTTTTAATGTTTATTCATTTTTGAGAGATAGATACTGAGCGTGAGTGGGGAAGGGGCAGAGAGAGAGAAGGAGACCCGGGATCTGAAGCAGGCTCCAGGCTCTGAGCCGTCAGCACAGAGCCCAACACGGGGCTCAAACTCACAAACCATGAGATCATGACCTGAGCTGAAGTCAGAGGTTTAGCCAAACTGAGCCACCCAGATGCCCCAGACGTTCATTTTTAAATACAGCTACTTGTCAGTATGTACAGTAATCAGTATCTTTCTGAGTACAATTTTTTAAAAGCACATTTTATGCACTGGTCTATATGCACATTTTATACCACATAATTATATAACACTCAAATAATTTAGTCCTTAGAAATGTTCAGCTTTGAATGAATTAAGTGTACCAGAAATAAACATAGAGTGATTTCCAAATAAGCAAAATAAAAGGGATTTTGTATATGTTCGGAAAACAAAAAAGCATGAAATTAAACACATGGAAGAAGGTGCAACACGTACACAGCAGCCACAGCGCGCAGGTGGCTCAGCGCCAGGCCAGACGTGAGGCCAGCACCGAGACCGGGCTTCACAACCACAGGAAGGGACATACGTCAGGAACATGTGACCGCGGTAAACGTGTATGAGTCTGACAGCAGAGTCCAGAAATCTGGGCTGCAATAACCTGACAGTTGAAAGAAGAAACAGGCAGTTCCTCAATTATAGTTGGAAGTTTCGGTACCCCCCTCTAGTTGTTAATAGAACGAGATGAAACAAGGATGTAAAAAATTTGGAAAATACCCTGCACCAGCTCAGTCTGACTGAGCTTGTGGGCCATACGACAAGTGTCATACATAAGATAGTTGCAGTAGTACAAAGTATGCCGTCTTTCCACAAAAGAAAGTGGAAATCAACAGCAAGAAACCTGGGGAAATCCTCAAAATGTTGGGAAATCCAACCACCCATTTCTGAGAAAAGTTTTCATACAGCAATAATCGCACCTCAGATAAACCTCATTGGCTATGATACTGCCACGTCGCAAAGCTCTTCCGTTTCTGATTAACCTGTGGCCCAAAGAAGAAATTCAAAGGAAAAATAGAAAGTATTTTGAATTGAGTGAAAACAAAAGCAACGTGCCAAAAGGTAGGGGTGCACGAAAAGCTGGGCCCAGAATGAGCTGTTTTAAGCACTGATACCAGAAAAGGAAGTTGTCAAGTCAGCAACTTGAGCTGCTACCCCAAGAGCAGGAGAAAGAAGCAGACTCAGCCCAAAGAAGCAGAAGAAATGTCCCGAGAGTCCTGATCTGACAGAAAGCAGATTGGGGAAGGATGGCTAGGAGCTGACCACGGATGGGCAGGAGATGGGAATGTTTTAAAACGGGCTTATGGTGATAGTTGGACAATTTTGTAAATTGACGAAAAACTGAATTCACTGGTTGGATTTATTTTTTTTAAGTTTTTATTTATTTTGAGAGAGACAGAGCTATGAGCAGGGGAGGGGCAGAGAGAGGGAGAGAGGATCCCAAGCAGGCTCTGCACTGTCAGGGTTCACATTCACAAATCCCGAGACCACGATCTGAGCCGAAAGAGTCGGATGCTTAACCGACTGAGCCACCCAGGTGCCCCTCAGTGGTGGGATTTTATCTGCTAACTTACAACTTTTATTTTGTAATAGTTTGGACTTCTAGGCATTTACAGAATAGTTCCTAGAATCCGAGCCTTCCACGGCGGTGACCTCTGACGGGCCCCAAAGCTGGCACGGTACCGGCGACCACACCACAGGCCTTGTTCCACTTTCACCCTTGTCCGTGCCCATTTCTGTTTTTGTTTTTGTTTTTGTTTTTTTGGTAATAGCTTTTCTGGTTAGATTTGGACTTAATTCTGATTCTATCGGGATTTGAAAACTAACCGCTGCTCATCGGTTTTCACCATCTGGCCACTTTGTGGTGCATCAGCCATGCACACCGTGGTCGCTAATAGTTCCTGCACTTCAGATGAGCCTTGTCCCCTCCGTGAAGCAACTTTCCCTGCTGCCCCTCGTATACCACACTCGTACCCGCTTAGCTCCCCACCAGGCCCGGCTGGGCATCCGTCTACCATAGGATCTAGTGAGGAGGGTAGGACAGGGCCTCAGGCCCAAGTCTAGGTCCTTCTCTCCACCTTCCCCAGGTGGGCTCTTCCACCCCTCAGTGCCCCTGAAAACTTAGTGATAAAGGTGGATTTAAATTGTACTGCCATCCATACTCAGTAGGACTGCGAAACAGAAGGCTTCTGGAACCAGTGGGCTCATCCCTCGTTGGCAATATCTCATCGTGCCAGTACTTTGCTACATTCTGTTGCGGCTGTTGGGCTGTGTGCGCGTATATGTTCTACTTTTAAAAAGCCCATTATGGTTTGAACAATCTAAGTGGGCAGTTTCTAAATTTGAGCAAAAAACACTTGGGGTGAAAAAGAAAACTTCGTGTTTGCGGAGAGAGAGTCGGCCTGTGCTTGTTGCAGGGACCGCCTTGAGCAGCTGGAGAGGAAGCGGGAGCGAGAACGAAAGATGCGGGAACAGCAAAAGGAACAGCGGGAACAGAAGGAACGGGAGCGGCGCGCCGAGGAGCGGCGCAAGGAGCGCGAGGCCCGAAGGGAAGGTGCGCGTGGGCGCACCCTGTGGTTGGGGTGTTGTTCCCATGGGTGAGCCCAGAGCTGCACAAATGACACTGAGGGGTGAGGTGCTCTGGACCATGGCTGAGTGAAGGGGGAACAGGCCGTGGGGCTCGGGAGTTGAGCCCGACCACATAGTTCCTTGCCAGAGAAGGCAGTGGTCACTTCAGGCCTGAGGTGAGGGTGTGCGGCCGGGGCGCACCCAGGCCTGGTGCTGGACAGCCGTCAGGGTAACACACGGGCTGCCGCCCGCTGCTGTTTAGGCACAGGCTTGGAGAGGTGGGTCGTGGCCCCTTCCTTTTCCGGCAGTAGAGAGTCTGGAAGGCGTACGTGGGTCCTCCGGGACGTCTCACGGTTTCCACGCCTCTGTGGCCACAGAGCTGTCAGCAGGTGTAGTGGGTTGTCATCGTCAGGGGTGCAGGTGAGGACCACCTCTGACCGAGGTGGGGCCCTGCCAGAGAGAGGGTGCCGCCAGCGCTGCCTCCTGCTGTGTTCTGTGCCCCAGTGTCTGCACATCACCGGACCATGAGGGAGGACTATGGCGACAAAGTGAAAGCGAGCCACTGGAGTCGCAGTCCGCTGCGGCCGCCGCGAGAGCGGTTTGAGCTGACAGACGGCCGGAAACCAGGTGAGGGCCCGCGGCGCCTGCCTGGGGGCCAGCGTGGCGCGGTTCTTTGCTGACAGTTTTTTATGGACAAAAACTTTTTTTTGCACGACGATACGGTATGCTAAAGTACTTCCGTGTCACATGACAGGACTTTAGCATTTGTGCGGAGCACATTTATATTTCTCAGCGGAAACCTTTGTTACGGGTCTTTGAGAGCTGTTTTCCAGCTAAGTGTGGATGAGGGTTTATCCTACACACTGAAGCTTATCTCTGTGTGAAAGATCCCACGTGATCTCGTTGATGGTAAACACGTTCACTTTTGATGGTTTGTGTCACAAGTGAAAGAAGAGAAGGTGGAAGAGAGAGACCTGCTGTCCGACCTGCAAGACGTCAGCGACAGCGAGCGCAAAACCAGCTCAGCCGAGTCCTCGTCAGGTGAGTGCGGGCCCCGCCGCCGTGAAGTCACCGCTGCCTGCGGTGCCTGCCTGCGGTCACTCCCGGCCGTTTTCTTCTGAAGCGGAATCAGGGTCGGGCTCGGAGGAGGAGGAAGAGGAGGAGGAGGAGGAGGAGGAGGAGGAGGAAGAGGAGGGCAGCAGCAGTGAAGAATCGGAGGAGGAGGAGGAGGAGGAGGAAGAGGAGACAGGGAGCAACTCCGAGGACGCGTCTGGACAGTCGGCTGGTGAGGAGGGCACTGGGCGCGACGGTTTAGTTGGCTGGACTCCACAGACCGCAGAGGTCACGGGAACTCTCGGTTCGAAAATGTCTCCAAATGGACAGTGCCTTGCTACCTGGGACTCCACGTGAGACCCCAGAATTGATCGTTTACGGCGGTTCTTGCTCTCTGTTAGCTAAAGCAGACCCTCGCTTGTGCTGGCGGAGGGTCTGAAGAGCCCTAGAAAGAGGCAGACCCCAAGTCAGCGCAGGGCCAGCAGCCCCGCAGATCTGAGCAGACGCCTGCTGTCTCTTGCAGAGGAAGTGAGCGAAGACGAAATGAGTGAGGATGGGGAGCGCGAGAATGAGAACCACGTCCTCGTTGGTGAGAGGCATCCCCGGTGCTTGGTCTTTTCCTGTGTGCTGTGGCCCTTTGTAGAGCTGGCACCTCGGGCTTCCTCCAGGGTCACCCCACCCCAGAGGCACAGGCAGCTGAGTCACTGAGAGACCCGGTTCCCTGAGCACCACCACCCCCACTCCCCCCCACCGACCACTTGCGACCGTGAGGGGCCAGCATCCCTTACTGGGGACAGTCCTGACTGAGCGTCCTCGTGAGCGTCACCGTGGCTTAGACACTGCAGGTGGCTGGGAAGCACCAGCCGGGGCCCGGCCTCTTAGCTCAGGTCCAACCACAGGCCCATCACCGTTCTGTAGACACCAGCAAGGCCTTGCCCTCAAGGCCTGACGGGAGCTCTGGGTGTGCCGCCTTTGAGCTCAGTCTCCGGCCGGGGGCTCACAGTGCATGTGGCTGAGCTGGCAAGCCCCCAGACCCCAGTGCCCTCTGTCCAGGATGGTGAGACACACGCTTGTGCACAGCATCCTGGGGTCATTCTCGTGTGGCTCTTGCATGCACTCAGTGTCCCCCCCACCCCCACCCCAGACAGGAGAGGGGTGATGACGGTTGCTTATTTTGGTTCCATAATTGGGTTTTACTTTTGAAGTTCCAGAGTCCCGATTTGACCGAGACTCCGGAGACAGTGAGGAAGGGGAGGAAGAAGCTGGTGAGGGCACTCCACAGAGCAGCGCCTTGACCGAAGGGGACTTCGTGCCCGACTCTCCCGCCTTGTCACCCATTGAACTCAAACAGGAGCTGCCCAAGTACCTCCCTGCCCTGCAGGTCAGGCGTCCTTCCCATGCCGGGGTTGGTTCTGCTGATTACGAACAGGATGGTGGCTGAGAGCAGGAGCTGGGTCCCCGGGGTGGGGGTCCCCGGGGTCACGCATGCAGTGAGGGAAGGTGCCAGGGCCTTGGTGGCATGTGGTGCAGGGGGCGCTCCTGTCCTCAGTGTTATCTTAGCGCCGGGCAGACAGGCCAGGCCTGGCTCAGAGGGATGCGTCCAGGACCAGCTCTTTCCCACGTTAGTTTTATTCCGTAATTGAGGAGCCCGTGGTCACTGAAGAAACTGGAGAAGAGGGCTGCTCCTGGCTCCGCCACCAGATACATTCGGCGCCCTCTGGAGACCTCTGGGCAGGGTTTGCTGCACTGGCCTGATTCAGGTGTGTGTGCGGCCGTGGCCGCTGGGTCCTCACGGCTGGCTTCCTTCCAGGGTTGTCGGAGCGTGGAGGAGTTCCAGTGCCTCAACAGGATTGAAGAAGGCACGTATGGGGTGGTGTACAGAGCAAAGGACAAGAAAACAGGTGGGTGCGGTGCCGAGTGGTTCCCCCAAAGGGAGAAGGGGAGACGGGCAGGAACCAGATGGCACAGGGAGCCCGTCCCTGTTCAGGAAGGGACTTGTGCTGAAGAGCATTGTCCGTGGGTGTACCCGTTGCGCCATCTCGAGCCCGGCCCGGAGGGTTTGCTGTCCGCAGCCTCACTGGGCCCACATGCGGGCTGGGCTCTAGGAGCGAGGCCGGGTGTCCTGCCCGGGCCACAGCCAGCTCGCAGGGACTGAGATCGAGCCCAGGCCATCCTGGCCCTCGGCACCCTCGGTGTCAAGGTCCTTGAATGCACAGTTCCTACTCTCCTAGGAGTCTCTTCTCCCCGGGTGCCCGGCTGTGGCCTCGCCTTACCTGGCCAGCACCAGCTAGTGACTCATGGGCCCCTGAGCAGTGGACTCCTTGATACCTGTGGAAGCCCGAGGTCAGTCTGACCGTGAGGCTCTGCCGCTTACTTGTGACAGCAGGTGCCTCCGTTCTGGGACGGAGTGTGTCATGTGCTTTGAGTGATAGCACCTGAGCGGGTGTGTGAGCCTCAGACTGGCAGCTTCCCCAGCGCCTGCAGCTGGGTCTTGGAAAGTCAGGGAGGCCACCTGAGAGCCTCAGACCCCAGTGATTGTGTCTGTCCTGGGATGTTGAGGTTTGCTGTGTCTCCTGGCAAATCACAGTAGGGATATAGAGATAAATAGGAAAATTCTCCTTAGCTGTTTGGACAAAAGTTAGCGTGGAAATCTGCCTCGTGCGTCTGTTGGGCCACAGGTTTGGGCTTGTTTTCTTCGTGCTGGTGTAACATGGGGCTTCCCAGTTACAACAAGGCTTCCCAGTGCCAAATAAGAAACGGTCCCCGAATCCCAACAAAATGTGTGCTTTCTCAGCCCATCTTCGAACTGTTTTCAGATGAAATTGTGGCTCTGAAGCGGCTAAAGATGGAGAAGGAGAAGGAGGGCTTTCCAATCACCTCCCTGAGGGAGATCAACACCATCCTCAAGGCACAGCACCCCAACATTGTCACCGTTAGGGTGAGGCAGCCCGGGCCTGTGCCCCGAGGGGACCCTGTGATTCCTGTGCACCAGTGTTGTGCAAAAATTGAGCACTAGCCTCCCAAAATGTCAGCCCCCTTAGGGTCGTCACACCTATAGGTACCTGCTGTCCCCAGTGTCTCTGCCCCGGGAGCCAGCAGTTAGTTGCGGGACCTGGAGGTGAGCATGGCACCCACGGACCCGCTCTTGTTTGCTAGGAGATCGTCGTGGGCAGCAACATGGACAAGATCTACATCGTGATGAACTACGTGGAGCATGACCTCAAGAGTCTGATGGAGACCATGAAGCAGCCTTTCTTGCCAGGTGGGGCCTGCAGGCACCGCGGGGGCCATGCAGGGAGGGTCTCCCACAGCCCTGATGTACTCCCACAGACGGGGCCCCCTGACTGGTGTCCCCCACAAGGAACATGCGGCCCTCGGGCTGCCCAGGGTGCAGGCAGCGTGTCCCTGGGGCGGAAGGAGCACTGACCCCACCGCGCCGTGTATCCGAGTGTGTGCGTGCGCACGTGTGCATGCGTGCGTGCGTGCGTGCGTGCGTGCGCGAGGGCCGTGCCAAGCTGAGAGCATTCCCGGGAGAAGCGCACCCTGAGAATCCCGGTTGCCGCCGAGGCGGGGAGCTGACCCGAGGCACTGACCCGAGGCGCTGCCGTGTAGGGGAGGTGAAGACCCTGATGATCCAGTTGCTACGCGGCGTCAAACATCTGCACGACAACTGGATCTTGCACCGAGACCTCAAGACGTCCAACCTGCTGCTCAGCCACGCCGGCATCCTCAAGGTGAGCCCCCGGGGCCCGCCCCACAGGGGCCTGGCACCTGGGCCTCAGGGGCCTGCCCACAGCCCGCCTCTGTCCTCGCAGGTGGGGGACTTCGGGCTGGCGAGGGAGTACGGGTCCCCCCTGAAGGCCTACACCCCAGTCGTCGTGACCCTGTGGTACCGCGCCCCGGAGCTGCTGCTCGGCGCCAAGGTGAGTGCGGGAGGCGGCCAGCCTGCGCGCGCTGCCCTCCCCCAGCCTCCTGAGCGTGCCCCTGGCCCCCCAGGAGTACTCCACGGCTGTGGACATGTGGTCGGTGGGCTGCATCTTCGGGGAGCTGCTGACCCAGAAGCCGCTGTTCCCCGGGAAGTCGGAGATCGACCAGATCAACAAAGTGTTTAAGGTGGGTCTGTGCTCTCGCCCTGCCAGCCACGTGCGGACACCTGTACCAGACCCTTCCCTGCAGGCCGCGGCCGTTCCAAAACTCTCTCTCTCTCTCTCTCTCTCTCTCTCAGGACCTAGGGACCCCCAGTGAGAAAATCTGGCCTGGCTACAATGACCTCCCTGCGGTCAAGAAGATGACCTTCACTGAGTACCCCTATAATAATCTCCGCAAACGCTTCGGGGCCCTGCTCTCAGACCAGGGCTTTGACCTCATGAACAAGTGTGTGAACCTGCAGGCTGTGCCCCTCCGGCCCTGGGCCTCCCCCTCCCCCACCCCACCCCACCCCACCCCACCCCCACGTGGGTGCCAAGTGCTCTTGTTCTCCTAGGTTCCTGACCTACTTCCCCGGGCGGAGGGTCAGTGCGGAGGACGGCCTGAAGCACGAGTATTTCCGAGAGACCCCCCTCCCCATTGACCCCTCGATGTTCCCCACGTGGCCCGCCAAGAGTGAGCAGCAGAGGGTGAAGCGCGGCACGAGTCCACGGCCCCCCGAGGGCGGCCTGGGCTATAGCCAGCTGGTGAGGACAGGGCCGCAGGGGGGAGGCTGTGGGGGTCCCCCCCAAAAGTGGGGCCAGCCCAGCCGAAGCCCCACGATGACGCTTGCTCCCCAGGGCGACGACGACCTGAAGGAGACAGGCTTCCACCTCACCACCACAAACCAGGGGGCCTCGGCCGCGGGGCCCGGCTTCAGCCTCAAGTTCTGAGGTTCGGCGCAGAGCCCGTGCCGGCCCTGCGGGTACCGACCAGCAAGGCTCAGTCGGGACCAGGGCAGGCGCCAGAGGCAGCGTGTGGGTCCAGACCGAGGCCTGGCCCTGACTGAGCGCAGCCGCCGGAGGCCAGTGTGGCCGCGGATCTTGACCTCACATCTCAGACTGCCCGTCTCGTTCGCTTTTCCAACGTTTCATTTTTATCTCGGCTTGTAAATTTGTAGAATTAAATCACGTTTTCCTTGTTGTGGAAGGAAAGGCTGTATTTTTTCGGATGTGGCAGACTCGCCCTGCGAAGAGGGGGGCATCTGTAGGTGGCCAGTGTGGGCGGACACGTGTCCCCCGACACACGAGGTCAGCACGGTGACCACTGGGGACTGCACTGTTAGGACACTGGCCCTGGAATGGAGCTGTGGGGGGTATTTTTCTATTTAATCTTCAGGCTCCTTTGCACCTTCCTACCCTCAGGGCATCCACAGCCCCAGGCCCCCCAGAGCCAGCGTGCGAGTTCTTGGCCACAGCGAGACCGGTTTTGTACCAAAGTTAACATGTTTTAAGACGCAATAAGATATTCTTGGGGGGAAGCTTTGCTACGTCGGTCCTTTCGCTCCCACTGGAGGCCTCACGGGCACAGTGGTCCGGCCCTTCCCAGCCTTCCTGCCTCCCCACCCCTGAGTGACCCCGAGACACAGCCAGGAACCCCGGGCTCCACCGGCTCAGCCTATGTCCCCAGCGATGCTGCTCACGTGTGGGGGTCCCTTTTCCCCACTTCTCCAGGACCAGCTGGAAAAAGCCTTCCTTGGCCTTGGCCTGTGGGGAAGTTGGGGCGTCCGGGCCCCGGGCTCCCCACATCCAGCTGAGCACAGGCTGGAGGGCCCCACCCCGCAGGACCCAAGGCTGTTCGCCCTCCCTCCCAAGAAAGGGTGCGCAGACTTGAGAGAGAAAGTGCTTTATCGGCCGTCTCGGCCCCGCGGGCGCTCAGCCCCGCACGCGGACCCGCCAGGAGTAGGTGCTGAGCACCCGCTGCCGCCGGCGCACCACGCACGTGTACGTGCCCTCGTTGATGGCGTTGGCGATGATGCTCAGATGCGCCTCGCCCAGCGCCAGGTAGCCAGGGTAGGAGAATTCCAGGGGCTCCTGGTCCTTGTACCAGCTGCGGGGAGGGTGGCGAGGCTGGGCAGGGCCCCGAGCACCCGCCACCCACCCTCGGGGGGTCACGGGGACGCAGGGCCACTCACTACACTTTGCCTTTCTTGTGGAGGATCTTCTGGCCGCAGCGGAAGGTCACGTTCCGGCCCTCGGGCACCAGCCTGGTCTTGGTCCTGGGTGGCGGTGCAGTGCGTGCCACTGGGAAGGGAACCTGCCCGAGGCAGGAGGTGGGCCGCCATCAGCGCCCCTGCCCCCCCCCCCCCCCGCCAGACCCGAGCTGGCACTGGGATCCTGCCTCCACCGCCTCAATCAGAGCAGAAGTCAGCTGGGACAGGAGCCTCCATAAGTCTCCTGGCAGTGCCCACAGAACCCTCCTGCGCTCCAGGATGTGCACACACAAATAGCTCATCCAGGTGCCCACAGAGGGCAATCCTGTCCTCAGGGTCAGCCCGGCATCACCACCCGCCAGCTCCCACTTCCACCCACGGGCACTCCACCAGAGCCTGGTGCAGCCCCACAGCTCAGCCTAAGTACAGCTGCCTTTCCAGCCATCATAGCTTATTGAGGGTGCATGAGAGTCTCTGCCTGCCAAGTAGTGCATCAGGTGGGGCTGCATCTCAGGTCAGCCACTGCAATTCAGGTCATGAGCTGGGCCTGCAGGTCCCGAGGGTCAGGCCTGACCCTTGGCCACAGCCTCCCCTGCTCTGCCTCACAAGTCTTGCTTGCTGGCTACATCTGTTGGCAGCGGCCACGAGCCTCCCCACCGCAGCCACATACATAAGAACGCCCAGGCCAGCAGAGGTGGTAGAGCCTCGCCCCCCAGGAATGGGGGGCCCGGTTCTGTTCCAGCAGTGGGGAGGGGGGGGCAGGGGACAGGGCTCCTGAACCGGGGCCTGTGGTTCTCTCCCCAGCCTCCCCTTCCTGCTTACTTGACCCCAGATCATATAAAGCCAAAACACCCCAAAAGCCTCCCACAGCTCAATTTAGTAGAGGGTTCCACAGGAGGCCACCTTTCTTCCAGCTGTAGCTGGGGCCCAGGTATCATTCGCTGGTCATCGGCGATGCCCCCTGGAGGGGGAAGAAGGTAAGCCAGCTCGCCTGTCGGGCCAGCAGTGGTGCAGGGCAGAGACCAGCACGTCCTGCAGGTTGACCGGTAGCCTGGGGGAGCGGCTAGGTTGAGGGGGCCGCTGGCCGGGCGGCAATAGGCATCGCAGCGCCCACCCATGGAGGCTCATCATTGCTCTGGGGCCACCTCCTCTCGAAGCTGGGGACATACCGCCCACATGGCCAGGCCCCGCTGGTCTCGCTGGGGCTTCAGCAGGACCTGTGGGAAGGAGAGAATCCTGGGTGGGTTAAGGTCAGGGGTGGCGCTGGCTGCACCTCCATCCTGGCCTAATGTCACACCTGTAGGTGAGGCTGAAGTGGTCCCATGCGAGGCCTGGCTGTCATGCATGGGCGGGCTTGAGGGGTGAGGACCAGGTCCCGTAGCGAGGACACCAAGGATTGGTGCGGCGAGATTTCAAAGAAAGCAAGGGCTCTTGGGGAGGCTGGGACCAGACTCTAGGTCTGAAAACACTGAAAAAAGACTTAAAGGAAAATGGGGTGGGTTCTGTGGTTCAGGGAGTTGAAATCTCTCCTTTGGGGCTCTGTGTTTTTTTAGTTTTCTACCCTGGTCAGCGTTACTTTTACAGCCGAATGAAAAAGGTTACTGAACCAGACAGGCCAGGTCGGAGGGCGGGCTGAGGCTCGATGCCATCCCACCCCCCCCACCCCCCTGCCTCGCTTCTCCCCCCAACACTCCAGGCCTGACCTGGGCCCACCCTCAGCTCAGGTCCTGCTCTGCTCACCAGCTTAAAGGCTGGCTGCCAGCTGGCTGAGGGCCCCAGCCGGGCCAGCATCATGAGCATGGGAGCAGAAGGCACCTGCAGCACAGCTCCCAGCCGGCCAAATTGGATCCAGCCCCCGACGTCAGCTGAGGACACGCAGGCCCCGAGGCCCATGAAGGCCTGCGGATCTCCGCTGTCGGGGCCCAGGTGGGGGCTGGTGCGGGGCAGGCGCTGGAAGCGGCCTCCGGGTTACAGGGTGGGCAGGGGAGGCGCGTGCCCTGAAGGGAACCAACCACTGTCCCTGCTGTCAGGACAGCCCCTGCTGCCAGTGGGGTGCGACCCGGGGCCTGTGGGTCGTGGCAGAAGCTTGGGCAGGGCCTGGCTGGGCGGGGTTACTTGGGAGGGGGAGAGGACAGGCAGCTGGGGAGAAGGGGTAGAGTCTCACCAAGGAAGGAGCACGGGCCAGTCCCAGCTTTTCCCTGATGGATCTTCAGCCCTCGCCACCTAATGAAGCTGGGGAGCGAACCTCCCAGCCAACTTAGACAAGTCCCCGCCGAAGCATCAAAATATTCGACAGTCCCGGAGCAGTGAGGACCAGGAGAGAGCACGGGCGCGCCGGAGGGGCAGGCGGGGCGAGGCAGGGAGGGGCAGGTACAGCGTGGTGGTGGTTCAAGCTGTCGGGGAGCTGAGAGAAGAGACCCCATCGGGGTTTGGGGCCTGATGTGCCGTTAGGAGCCGACCCGTGGCCAGGCCAAGGTCGGGGCGGGCCTGGGCGGGCAGGCGGGCGGTGTCCTTGAGGCCCTCAGGGCCCGACGGGATACCAGGCTGCAGGAGCTGTCAGGCAGGAGATGTTGGTGAGGGCCTTCCGGGCCGGGACCCTGACCTGGGGTGGGTGGGGGGGCCGACAGGCAGAGTCGGGCCAGGATTGGTGCAGAGGGCTGAGGGGAGAGGCAGCGCTGTAGATCAGTTTGGGGCCCGACCTCCTACCCTCCATCCGGGCCCGGCGCCGAGTGAGGCAGTACACCCAGCCGACGGGGCTGGGGTGCCACAGAGCCAGCTCCAGGGGAGCATTTCGGGTGGTTCTTACACCCGGTCAGCTGAGCGGCAGCTTTAAGCTCTTCGTGGTTCAATATTTGCTCCAGCTCAGACTGGCTCTCTGCAAGTCCTGCCTTCCCCAGCGCCTGTACCCCCCCCTTCCTGACATTCAACGGTCCTAAGATTACCTTAGTGGTGCTGCTGCCCCAAAGAGGGGCCCTTCCTCAGCTCCTAGCAGGGGACCTCCAAGGGCCACCGAGGAGACCAGGGTCGGAGGTGCACGGTCGGCCCAGGAAAAGACGAGGCCGGGGAGATGGCACCCCATGCCATGGACAGGCTCTGGCTGACCCAGGCTTTGAGGATACCCACGCCCCACCCCAGGCCAGGCTGTGAGAGGCGGCTCGTGCCTGCCCAGAATCTGGGTCCGGGGTGCAGGCACCCTTGTGCTATGAGCGCCACAAAAGAGCAGGAATGCGTGTGGGCACGGCCACAAAGCGCAGAGCCTGATCTGGGGCGGAAGTGGCGGAAGAGAAAGCCTGGCAGGACCGCCCGCGTAGGGGCGGCGGCGCGGCGGGCGGGGACCCGGTGCCGAATGCGGCCCCGCCCCAGGCAGTACCAGGCGGAAAAGTCCGAGAATCTTTTATAAACACGGTAGGGGCTTGCGAAGGCGATGGCGGACGGCTCCGAACGTGAAGGGCGCGGCTGGGATCGCGGGGCGGGGGGGGGGGGGGGGTGGCGCGGACTACACGAAGATCTGGATGCACGGATGGGCTGGCGGCAACGGGGCAGGCGTTTATGCGGCGCCGCAGGCGCGGCACGCCGTGGCCGCACTGGAACGACGAGGCGATGCGGCTGTCGATGCAGATGGGGCGGCGATGCGTTCTTCCATCCGCCGGTGAAGTGCTCTGAGCTCCCACCAGCTGCGCCGCGGGCTGGCGCAGGGGCGCGCCGCACACTCTGCGCTGTCTGGCGGCGGGGGGATCGGGGTCAGAGGGGCGGCGTGGGGGGACGTGGGGTCTGGCGGTCTGGCTCCCCACCCACCTTGGCGCAGCTTCGCTGACACCTGGCACCTGATGCACTTCTTCATCCCAGGCACACTCTGTGGGGAGCGCGCTGGCTGGCGGCGGCTGTTTGGCGGGTCTTGCTCTGGCGCTCCTCCCCCAGAATCAATTTCGCACACCGTGCGGTGCTGGTAACGGCGAGAACACCAGCAGCGCCCGAGCACATTCAGCACTGAGGTCTGGGGCCCCGACGGCGCGGCCGCAGTCTGTCACGGCGGTTAGTGCGCCGAGCACCAGCCTGGGGCTCCCGCGGCCGCGCCCCGCTGCCGCCCGGCGTGCCACCGCGGTCGAGGAGGGGGTCGAGGGACCCCTGGCAGGCGTGGGGAGGGAGGCGTTGCGGGGAGGGGGCGCCGGGACCCGTCCCCCCACCCGCCCGCTCACTGAAGGGCTGCGCGTAGGCCTGCAGTGGCCTGAGCACGCGGCCCTCGGCGGCCAAGTCCAGGGGGCTCCGGCCGCGGTGGCTGTTGGCGGTCGTCGGCGCCCTCCAGCGCCAGGAAGCACGCGACGTGCCCACTGCCTCAGCCTCCTGCCTGCCTGGGAGGCTGAGGCTCAGGCTGCGCGGCAGACAGATTTGGTGAGGGCTGGTGCTGGGGCAGGGTTCTCAGACCAGCCCGTCACTGGCTCAATAGGGGCCTGAGCACCCCTCGCCGTCTGAGGCCGTTACAACGTTAGAGCGGGAGATGGGCGGGCAGGAAAAGCGGGGGACTCCAGGGGAGGTGGGGCTGCCTGGGAGATGCATTCCCGCCCCGCCCCCACGGGGCCCGGGGGCGGGGGGGGGGGGTCGCCCTTTCCCAGGCTGGTCAGCAGCGCATTTTCTCAGGAACGCACGGCCCCGGCCGGGGTCGCAAGGACGCCCCTGGCCGCAGTCCCCCAGACTGCCCCGCCCCCAGGAAGGCCTGGCTCCCTGGGCAGGCGCCCGCGGCGGAGGCGAACAGCCCCTGCGGCCCACCTCCGCGCCACCCAGACCCACACTTCCTCACCCTGGACAGCAGCTGCAAGGGCCCCGGGTCCCCCCCGGCCCCATCGGCCGCCAGGGGCAGCAGCTGGTGACGCTGCAGTGCCACGTGCAAGGCCGTGTCCCCCTCCTCATCCTCGGCATTGACGCTGCAGCCAGCGTCCACCAGCAGCGGCACGAGGCCCACGTGGGCCTGCTGCACCGCCAGGTGCAGTGCGGACTGGAGCTGCCGGTTGCGGACGTTCACGTCACAGCGGCCCTGGGGAGAGGGAAGGGGGGAGGGTGGGCACAGGCTCCGGCCAGGGACCCGCCCCCGTCCCTCGGCTGCGTCCACACCTCTCGGATGAGAATCTGGATCACCTCCCGGTGGTTGTTGAGGGCGGCCAGGTGCAAGGCCGTGAAGCCGTCCTCTTTCTTGGCATCCACCAGCTGACGTGCCCGAGCTAGGATCTTCCTGACAGCTCTGGGAGCAGGGAGACGCATCGGGGGTCGGTCGTGTCCCCAGAGCGGCCCAGCAGCTCAGGAGGCTGGCCACCGGCCATGCCCACCCCAAACTCACAGTGTGTGGCCCTTGAGGGCCGCGTGGTGCAGCAGGGTGAAGCCCTGGCTGTTGGTGGCAGTGACGTCGATGCCCGGCACCTCAGTGAGGACCTCCACGATGCCGCTGGCGCCGGCGCCCGCCGAGATGGCACAGTGCAGGGGTGTGTCCGCATGGGCGTCCTGCCGGGGTGTGTGTGGGGGGGGGCAGCGGTCACTTGGCAGGGAGGTAAATGCCACTGCATCCTTGACCCCAGGGGTAGGGCCAGGGGACCTAACACTCACAGGCAGATTGACGTCACAGCCGCGCTCACACAGGACCCTCACCACCTCCAGAAAGCCCCTCCGCACGGCCACATGCAGCGCTGCGCTCCGGGTGCCGTTAAGGGCATTGGCCCCGCACCCGGAGCTCAGGAGCACCCGGGCAGCCTCGGGCTGGTTCCTGGCGGAAGAGGGAGCGGGAGGCACGCTGCGTCCACCTGCGGACCCATCCCCCGCCCCGTCCCTGCCGGGGCCTCACCCCAGGGCCGCGTAGTGCAGCGCCGTGTTGCCCTCATCGTCTGGCAGGTCTGCGCCCGCCCGTGCCTGCAGCAGCAGCCGCACCAGCTCCACCTGGCCCAGGTAGGCAGCCACCTGCAGGGCGGTCCTGCCCTGGTTCTTGGCGTCCACCTGCCAGGAGAGCCAGCAGGTCAGTCCCCAGCCCTCTGTCCCTCTCCCTGGGGCTGGCCGGCGGAGGGGTGGAGAGGCAGGGGTCTCGGGAGCTCGCCTGCTCTGGGTGCCTCCTCAGCAGGTCCAGAGCCCCGGCCATACTGCCTAGGGCCACCTCCACCACCAGTCTCCCTGGATGCTCAAGGTCGCTCTTCTGGGCTCGAAGCTTGTCCAGGGCAACACTCAGGGAGCCTGGGTGGGGCAGGGCTCGAGTTAAGTGGCGGCCCAGGGGGCGGCCCTGCCTCCCACCGGCCACCCAAGCTGGGTGCCCGCACTTTTGTTCTCCCTGGCACGCTCTGCGACGTCCAGGTTGGCATCTTCCTCGGGGCGGTAGGCCACCAGGCAGGAGGGGCTGAAGGTCCACAGCTGACCGCCGACTGCCACACGCAGGTTACCGTCTCTGAAAACTTTTATCACCTTCCCGACGCGGCCCAGGGCCTGAGTGGGGAGAGGGTAGGGTCACAGGCGGGTCTCCCAGGGGGTGAGGGAGGCGGGGGTGGGTGGAGGCACTCACAGGGGCCATGTCATCTGTCCACTCGCCGTGCCCAGCTTGTAGCCGCTTCACCGTGTCAAGGTCATCAATGACCCGCACCACGTCACCCACCCAGAAGGCGTTGTGCTGAGTGACAGACAGGCATGTGAGGGGCACCCCCCAGGCAAGGGTGGCTGCCCGGGGCCTTAGAGCAGGGAGCCACCTCCACTGAACTCCACAGGATAGGCGAGCCTCAACTTGACCCCAGCACCTGACTGAGAGCTGGATGAGGGCCACAGTGACCAGGGCAGCCCTGGGTGGCCAGCCCCAGAGCCGTGGGAGCGACAGCCAGAGAGGCACCCAGGCAGTGACATCCAGACCAGACCAAAGCCAACTCTGGGGTGAAGGCCAAGGCGGGCCTGACCCTATGCACCATTGGAGAAGCAGGCAGTGTGGCTGAGGCCAATCTAGACCGACACAAGGATGGGGGTGGGGTCCTGGGACGACCAGGGGCATCAGGAGCCACTCCTCCCCAGTCCCCAAACCTTTCCTGGCTGCACCCTCCCTGTACAGGTCTTGCTCTACAAACCATCTGTCCTGTGATACCCTCCCCCCCCCCAACACCCAACCCCCGGGTCCAGGACCATGCTAGGGGTAGCTGCCCCACCCACACAACCCTGCTTCCCAGTGTTCACCCGCACCCACCCCCGGCTAAGTGTCCACCCTCCGTCCTGAAGGGCCTTCCCACTGCTCCCGCTTGCTGCCCCCCATGTGCTCCCCACACCCATAGGGAGCACTGTTTAGAAAGTCACCTCCCACCTGTAATGCAGCAGTGGCTTCCTTAGGCCCAGGATCAAGCCCCCAGCCTCCGCCAGCCCCCAGTGCCTCACCCTCTGGATCCCTGTACACCTGGATCCCTCTCCGTGGAACTCAGTCCCTTCTAGACCCTGTAAAGCCCCCCCTCTCCCTTCAGGGTTGGAGAAAGGCATTCCCAGAGCTGAGCAGGTACACGGAGGGGGTGCAGAAGCGAACAGACGGGCTCGGCCCAGCCCCCCATGCACCTTGGTGAGAGCCCCAGGGTGGAAGGTCCAGCGGGTCTCATGGCCGAACTGCACGCGCACATCCCCACGCTCCGTGATGCGGTGCACGGTGCCCGTCTGTCCGATAAACTGTGGCGGGTCATGGAGACCGTGGCTGGGTGGAGCGGGAGGGCTAGGGGTCCAGAGGATGCGGGGAAGGGAGGGTACGGGGGGGCTCAGCAGGTGGGGCGGCTCACCTCCGCCATCCTGGGGTTCCACCCGCCGTGGCCTTCCTGCATCTCCCTCAGGATGTCTGTGTCCAGCAGACACTTAACCTTGTCCCCGTGCTGGAAAGGCTGGCCATCAGCACTCACCCTGCGCTGCAGCTCTGCCGGCTTGCCTGGGGGCGGGCAACAGGCCCCCCTCAGCAGCATCCCTCCTCCCCGGCACCTCCAGAGGTCAGCCCCCACCCGGTGCCGCCCCAGGACCCCGCTGGGGCAGGAGGGCGGCAGGGCGGCAGGGCAGGCGGATGTGGGCTACTCGGGGCCAGCCCCTACCGAGCCTTGGCAGGTGCTCCTTGTAGTAGAAGCCACCGGCCGCCTCGCCTACACACTTGAGGTCCACCTTGCCCTTGTGGCCCACTCGGTACACATTGGTGGTGCCATCTGCCCACGTCACACTGGCCACGCTCCGGCCTGTCTCCACATCCCAGCCACGGATGTCCACCACTCGGCCTGGCTTCCCTTCCCCGCCTGGGGAGACAAGGGTCCCACCAGCAAGCTAAGCCCGTGCCGTGAAGCTGAGCCACAGCCAGGGGCGGCCTGGTCCCCCACTCACCGTCCTGCGAGCCCCACTCCCAGTCAGGACCCCGTACCACCTTCGCCCCCTGGAAGATGCCCCTCAGCGGGATCCTGGGGAGGCCCTGGCGGGGACTCAGCGTGACCCTGCAAGAGAGCAAGTGGGTGCTGGGCCACATGGGAAGCAGGGCGATGTGCAAGCCCTCCGGCCCACCCAGCTCTCTTGCCCTAGGGCGGCTGGCCCAGCAGGTCCCTGCCCTCCGCTCTGGGCCCCTCACAGCAGGGCCTCTGTATGCAGTCACTTGGCACCCAGCGCCTCCTCCCGGGCTGAGCGCTGTTAGGGTTGTTCCCAGAGCTCTGCACACAGCCTGGCCCGGAAAGGGCTCAGCACATAGAAACGTAGAGATGGAAGAATGACCAGAAGCGCCCAGGCAGCTGGCCCTGCTCCCACTCTGGCCAGCAGGCAGCCGGAAGCCAGAGCACACGCCGCCCCTCCACGCGCACGGGAAGCGTCAAGGAGCCGTGGGTGGTGCCTCTGGGGGGCCACCCCAGCCCAGGGGACTCCTAGTTCCATCCCCCCGCCCTCAGCAACGGTGCCTCCCCAGCTACGCCTTTGGGTTCGCTCCCAGCACAGGCCGCCGGGGGCTTCCCCAGGGGACGCAGGCCAACTCCGTGCCCCCACCACAGCTGCACCGGGAACCAGCCACGCCTGGCTCTAGGGCCGGTGCCAGGACAGAGTGGACAGGCTGCCTTCCACGGAGGTGGGCGGGGGGGGGGGGGGGGGGGGGGGGCGCTGGTGCCAGTGACCAGGCCTCTGGAGTGACCGTGACCTCGGCCACACTTCAAGGAAAGGTGCTGCAGGTGCTCTGGCTGTCACAGGCCAGGGCCCCGACCCTGCCAGGCGGGTGGAACTCACGGGCGCGAGTGGGCCGTCTCGTAGCGCTCGAAGGCGTGGGTGAGGTCGTGCTTGCCGTGCATGTAGCACTGCGTGCACAGGTCGTAGTCGAAGCAGACGCGGCACTTCCAGCGCATACCCCGCAGGCCATGCTTCTTGCAGCAGTCACAGACAATGTTGGGGTGGCGGACGCCTGGGGGCGGGGCAGGGTCAGGGGACGCGGGGCCTCTGCCCTCCACCCTCCAGGGCCGCTGTCTCGTGCACCCATCTGGGCATCGTCATCTGTCCCCCGCCCAGGGCCCGCCGCCACCCCACGCACAGATCTGGGCGTTGTCACCTGCCCCCTGCCCCTCCAGGGCCCGCCACGCGCACCGATCTGGGCGTTGTCGTAGAGCAGCAGGTCGTGCGCGCCCTGGTAGCCTGCGCGGTAGTTGGTGCGGGTGCCGTGGTCCCACTGCACGACTACCGTGCGGTCAGGGGTCGAGGGGCTTCCGTGGCGGCCAAGCTCCACCACAGTGCCCACGCCGCCCTCGCCGCCATCCTGCTGGCCCCACTTCCAGTCCACGCCGCGCACCACACGCATGCCCACCTGCACGCCTGCCTGGGGGTCTGGGTCCATGGTGGGCACGGCTGCTCCGGGACCTGCAGGCAGATGGTACCCTCAGGCCACATGAAGAAGGCCACACAGGCTCTTGCCAGTTCTGGGAAGGCTGCCAGAGAGACACGGTGGGGAACAGGTCTGGGGGAGCTAGGTATGGTGTGTGGGGGTGAGGGGGGGGGAGCATGCGCAAACGCCCTGGGGCAGGGAGAAGCATGGTGAGCATGTGCACTACAGACCAAAGGAGGCTCAACTGGCCACCGGCTGGTGGAAGGGGACACGGGCCACAGAGGCTCAAATGGCACCTGTCTTCGAGGAAGGGTGGGATGCCCCTTTGGAAAGTCCTCTCCAGCCACTATGAGGTGCCGCCCTGTGGTGAGCAGGGGCAGAAAGAGGGTGCAGTCCTAGAAAGAGGACACTGGATCGCCAGGGAACGAGATCTGGCAAGGTAGGGACCCTCAGCAAATGCTCGTGGAGCGTCTGCCTCTGCTAGGGGGTCCAGTTCTGGGTGGTCGGCACACAGTGGGCCATCAGCACATCTTTGTTTGAAAATTAATGGATTGGGGGGGGGGGG